AGTTGCAGCTGCTGTTGCAAGAAAACAGGCGTGAGCTGGCGCAGTGCCGGCAGCGTGTGGCGAGGTGGGCGGCCAAACGTGGTAATTTAGGCTTGACTTCAGCAGGACAAAAGGCAGTACTTGCTTGCTATTGCTTGTCAAACTACAACAGCGCCATTGCCACCAAGCTTGCGCAGCAACTCAGCGACTTGGAGAGATCTTCCCCCCAGTTTCCGTCAGAACCATTGGTCCAATCTCTGTTTCGAGAGACAAACCTTGGAGAGCTCCTGCGGCTGCACAGCGACGATGATGATTGGACAAAAGCCAGAAATGTGGCCGTTCGCTTTGTGGCAGAGGTGAAGACGGTGGACTATGTCCACTCGCAAAACAGTCTCCATGGTGTCGCGCCAACTTCGGCTGAGGTTTTTGCGCATTTTGCGCAGACACGCTCGGGCGGTTTACCGGAGGTACTCCCAAGCCGCGACTATATCAAGAAGTGGGCTGCTGGTTGGCGAAAACGCTTTGGCATCCGAAGGGCGGCCTTGCCCATGGCCATTCCAGCAGATGCACCGAGCTTGCGGGCAAAGGTGCTTCGAGTGGTGTCAGTATAGGTGGTCAAACCGGTCAAACCAAGGGGCCAAAAATGGGACCGAAAAATGGACCTGAAACAAGGTCCGCCTTGTGAAAAATTGTTTTCGGTTGCGAGGCAGCTTTGGGGACAGTTTTTGGCCCCGGATTCTTTTTTGAGGGTGTGCTTTGAATTAGAATGAATGGCTCGGAGGTGAAATGCTTCTGGAAGATGCTGGCGTTTCAGCGTGGTCCAGAGGCTTGTGATGGTCGTGAGATTTTGTATCTCAATGTGGATGAAACAAGTGTGCCCTACACTGCACGACCTGCTATTGGTTGTGTGATCAACCGCAAGCAGTACAAGGGCTCCGGCCTCCCAGCCGTGCCCCACGCCAAAATCCAGCCTGCCGGCAGGCGAGGTACTTTTACGTACTGCGCTGTTATTGCTTCAAATACAGGAATTCAACCAGCACTACCCCACTTTCTTGTGAGCAATGGCACCAGGCTGAGCAGCAAGGTAGTGAAGGCCTTCAAGTGCTTGCCGAAGACCCAATTGCAAGTGCTTCGCCGGAAGAGTGCGTGGGTTACCAGTGATTTGATGATCGCAATCTTGCAAGAAGTGGCAAAAGCATTAGAACCGTTTTTGCATCAATTTAGGCCGGTATTGCTCTTGGACGGGGCGCCAGCTCACGTTTCAGAGGCAGTCATGCGTGCTGCAAGAAAGTTGAACATTTCGCTGGTATATATTCCATGTGGAGCAACTAGCCTGTGCCAGCCTTTGGACGTCTATGCGTTCTCCAGCTTCAAGCAATACCTCCGCCAGAAATACCACGAGCACAGGCAGACAGCCACTGATGGCTTGCCATCGACTTTAGCGTGGCTGTGGCAATTAGGCCAGGCGCCAAGGCAATTTTTTTGTTCCAAGTCTTGGGCCAAATGTTTCCGCGGAGTTGGGGCCAGTGGCAAAGCCAGCGACCTCCACTCTGTACTTGCCTCTTTCATGGAGCACCCTACATGTCTCCCTGCTTCATCCAAGCCAACGTCAGAGGACGTTCGGCTGATATGGCCGCAGAACCGTCGCATGAAATACGCATATGCGTGTTTGTATGATGGTGAAGACTGAGGAAGCACCATGCAAAAAAAGTGCCCGTGCAGTCAATTCTGTATATACTTTTAGGGCGCCCGCCCCTGTACTCCGATACGATCCCGCGGACCCTGCCTGCGTCTCAGTGCCATAGGGCACTGCCAGCATGGATTCAGGTAAGTGGCCGCGGTGCACCTCGAAGCCCTCTTTGGTGAAATCCGAACTCACCAGAACTGCCGCCTGCTATGCATGAATGTGCAGTGGTGCAGTGGTGGGAACTATGGCTGCCTATGGATCTAAAATGGGAAATATACATGGAATCTACATCATGGCTTCCCCAAATGCTTGTGAATCGAACACGTCATGAAGACCTTGCTGTGTGATAACTTTTTTAGGCCGACCTCTAGGTCGGTGGACCTCGACCTGTGACCCGCCAAGTCCGGTCCCACTCATCCATAACTCCAGGAAAACCCCTCCTAATAGCATCCTTGCCGCTAGTAGCGATGCCCTTTGCTTCTAGTAGCTTTTTGTTCCTAGTAGCGATGCCAGGAGCCCCTAATAGCGTCCTGGCTCCTACAAGTAGTAGCGAAAAACCCCTCCTTGTCGGTGTTCTTCTCCAGGAAGCTCGTCAGCTGCGGGGTGAAGGCCGTGCACATGGGGCACCACTCGCCCGCAAAGTACAGCGCCACCGACTTCCCTCGGAAGGCCTCCCCCACGCTCACCTGCGCCGTCGCAGGGTCGCTCCCTGTAGTTGGATATGGACATGGTATTGTAATGTAGACATGTACGGTAGTAGTTTGATATGGACAGTAGTAGGTAGTCCAGGTAGTCGTTATATATTGGATTATATTGGTGAATCTGAATTGCTTTGGTGCTTTGGCCAAGCTTTTATGGGCATTCCAGCCGTGAGCGAATGATGATGATCCAGCTGAAAATGCTGAACGACTGGGAAAGAAATACAGAACGTCCCCATCATCTCGGTCCAAACTCCTTCAAAGCTTGCAGTCCAAACTCCTTTCAATCACACCTTCCACAATCTCTGAATGGATTGGCACATTATTCGTGTTCTTCCCTTGAACTCCAAAACTCCTCCAGACCTGATTTCATTCCGAACCTTGGGTTGATCCTAATAACTGCAACAGCGGATGAGGATAGTCGATAGCCTTAGACAACATAATAGCAATGGTTCATGACCTTTACCAAATGCTACGGTGAATAAGATCTGAACCCTACTGCAAACACCCCTAAGCCTATTCTGCCAGCAACTCTTGAAACAGCATCCATCTTGACCAAACATCAGGACGGAGTGCCACCGAGCAGCCCCAATATAATAACTCTTCAACAAACATGTTTTCATCAAATCAGCAGCAAGATTCAGCAAGTATCAGTTACACATCATTCAACATTCATTGACAAAACATCCAGTCAAGCTACTCCTTCAAGAGCTTTCGCAAGCAATAGAGACTCTGGTTGGTGGTGTCTACATGCAAGATAGATTGTTCACATGAGTCAGTGACACTATAGTCATTCGAGGTCTCGAGGTAGAGGCTTATATTGCATATATTATATATATACATATTTATATATGTTTGACTTCCCTAATTTATGGAACAACACACATTCAAAGCCACCATCCATGACCTGCCTTACCTGCCTTCCCCTTCTTCCCCGTCCACGACGAGGGTCCTCCCGTCCCGATCCTCTTCCGCACCTCCTGACCCTTCGAATCCAGAAATGCTCCCAAACCTGGATTTGCTGTCCAGGAAGTCGGGAAAAGGAATGAACGGCATTCGACCGTCGCCTTGACACAGGTGTGTCCCGTCCATGACTGACACGGGTAGATATTCAATTATATTCAAAGGTTAGGGGATTTAACAAGTTCGGGAAAACAAAAACAATCACCTTTTCAAAACCAGGAAACTCACCGATCCACTGGCATCCGCCGCTGTACTTGCACCTGCCATGACGCTGCCCCAGGCACTTCGCCGAGGAAAGCTGCGGGGTGGCACGAAGCACCTGCATGGCATGGTGGATGAAGAATTTAAAGTCTCTGGTTCATCCAGCTCTGAGTCTTTGAACTAGGTCATGTCTTCCTGTCTTCCTGCTACCCCAGGCAGATCCAGGCAGTTCGGGTGATGTCGACGAAGGTTCGGGATGAGATGGGATTAGCGGTGGTTTCTCCGGTATACCGAGAGGTCATACGAGATGCTCATCCGGTCGAGCTGCCGTAGATCTCGATGCTTTCTCGGTAGAAGATGGTAGAGGTAGAAGCTCCCGGTCAAAAGAAAATACATATACATATATTTATATATAATATACATATATATATACATACATATACATACCACTTGTAAGGGAAACAAGAAGCTGAATAACATCAACAATGTCCTCTGTCATTCGCCTGAGCTCGTCAGTTTGTCAAGCTGGGTCTCCTTCTTCCCACCAGTGCACACTGAGACAGCGGAGAAAGAAGATCCACTTAAGCCGCAGCTTTAGATGGGATCTTGAGAGAATTTGTCTTGAGTCCTCTGAGTAAACATGGAGGAGCATCCTCCCCTTCCAAACTCCGGTGTCCTGTCCTTCTTGAGCCAGATAAGTCTCTCCTGTCCTCATCCCCGCTTCGTTCATCCTCCACATGGAGGCATGGAGTGAAAACAAGGCTAAAACAACCACCGGGAACATAGTGAATGTGAAACATGGTCCTAAGCATTCGGACGCCAGTTCCGATCAGGAGGACGCATGTGTCCGCCTGTAGGTCACTGCCGGGGCCAGGAAACCCGCACAAAGGGTGAGCGCTCGCACACGAGCAAAATTGCACCGGCTAAGATGCGACATGGGATTCGCTTGAGCCGAGGGTGGTTTTCGGGCAGCGAGAGGGGCTGAACGATGGAAGATCTCGTGACAGGGGCCGGGGTTGAACAACAAATGGAGGCAGCAGCTGTAGAATGTATTTTCCAGTAGCCTTTTGTTCAAAGGGGTTTGCCAATATTGGTGGCACGCGTCATCATGCGATATCTAGAGTTCATGTTCATGTGGCTTGAGGCCAAATCCGCAGAGATCTGTACTTTCTTGCATGCACAAAGGCGAATCTGGCCTGTACACTAGTGACTCTACTAGTGACTGGACTTCCCAACAGGTACTTGGACAAACCAAGCCCACATAAAAGTGTCTCCAATCACCATCTCCGCGGAGATGTGCATGTTGTACAGAGTACATGCTGTATAGAACAAAAAGATGCCCCACCCGCCACACGACCCTGCCAGCCAAGGAAAACACCTTCTTGAAAACATGTCCCACACGTGTCCAGGGAGGTGTCTCGAATCTCCCAATGTGGGGTGACCACCGGTGTAGCGGTTTGGAACGGTGAGTCCTTCTCTCCCAGCAACTCCAGCAAGTCCAGCGCCGCGCGCGCTTTGGCCAGTCCTGGTGATGCCGTGCAATGCGCGAGAGACAGGTGGCTGGTGGATGGTTGGAAACAAATCACCCACTCTACATTTTGGAATGTGTGAGATATTACATGGCACTGATTGGGTGGTTTTGATTGGGTTTCCTCTTTTAACCACGCCCCTTTCAAGCACCGACTTGAGTGTGGCCCAAGTTGTTCTCCAGAAACACTCATCATCCAAACCAGAAAAGAGCACCGACCAAGCTTGAGGGTTTGGATGTTTGGTCGCGCAAACAAAGACGACATAAATATGCCATACCATGGTGTGTCTGACATGTAGCAGCGTAGAAGCTTCGGACATTCCCTGGAGAACATGTGGTTGTGCAAAAGAACCAGCGAGCAAGCGAGTGGAGAACCTCTTTGATCCTCGCAGCGACCAATCGACCAATACGATACGATTGGTCGCTGACCCACCTCTTACACTCAAAAAATACTCACATGGACCCATTCAGAATGGCACTCCTTTTAAGACTGTCGGTGTTCTTTTAAACACAAACACTGTCAGTATCTGTGAGTGGTTTTCAGGGTCAAGGACGGTCGGTTTGACCGGGGTCTCGACCAAGCAGGGGCAACACCTCCAGTGGTCCCAGGGGACCTGTGACGTTGAGGAAGTCCCAAACACGGCAACGTGCAACGCAGGCAGGTGTGAGGTGAGGGCAGGGAAAAGGTAAAGTGCACGGCATGCCTCGCGAAAGGTTACAGTGCACGGCATGCAGGAGTTAATTCCTGGCATAGAATTGGACTGCAGCAGCAACCATGATAATATGATTATGATGTTATTCGTCTTTTTTGGGTCTGACAGTCTTATCCTCCCTCGAACGGTCACAGCGAGTAGACTCTGTCCTTGTCTCCAGTTGCCATCGCTAAAACACGACAGCGCCTGCCTGGCTACATCGTGCGCTTTTCCATCAATCCAATGGGTTTACTGACCCTAGGCCCTAGGGGTCCAACATGCTCCAACCACATCGCCAGGTTCGGTGGTTGGGGTGGGTGGGTGCTTTCGGGGGGTTCTGTGCCGAACCTGAGGATAGACAGGAGCCCTAGCTCTTTTCAGTCCCATTCGCTGACGAGACATGCTTCGGGGAACTCCCGAGCACCACGGAGACTCGCTCCCTCGGTGGCCTCCGTGATCGGACCTCCCTCCATCTCGCTCCAGCTAAGCTATCCACCACCGGAGGGCCACAATGGACTGAAGGGACAACGGAGGTCCCGTTCATCTATGTCCTTTTCACTGATTCTTTCCCTGTTTGAACCTTCCCCAGGCACATACAAAAACCTTTACGTCGTCTAGTCGAATCTATTTGGGAGACCATCACTTTTCCAGATCTTCTTTCGAACACCCAACACTCAGCCCCACGCCAAGCCCTATGCCAAGCCACTCCGTCGCTTTGGTCGCAAAGCTCCGCCGCCGCGCTGCTGCGTCGGCCATGCGCAGTGGCTTTCACGGTCGAACGTGACCATCCGATGGCGGCACACACGGAGGTGGTGGGAGTGTGGGAGTGGGGGGGCGAGTCTTCCTATGGAGATGATCAAGAACCAGGAAGCTAAGGAACCATGTTCGCTTCCTGAAGGCTTTTGAATGTTGCAAGAATGTTCAGTGTTCATCTTGCAGTCATAGGCTGATTTGGGTCCTAGATCCAATTGCATGACTCTTGACTCTGGCAGTCGATCTAGCAGTCGAGGTTGCAAAGAAATAATGTTGGATCCTGATTAGTAAAGGGCCCCCCCCCCTCAAACAAACAGGGGTACATCTATAATAAACTATCACCAAAACAAATCTGGATTCCTGGTGAGGGATCTTTTGTAATTGATTGTAGTATTCATTATCCTTTTGCTTTGCAGCCTCAGATCTTCAGCTCAAGAGAAGCCCCAAGCTCTCAGCTTCTTCCTCAGCTTTCATGGCTTCCTTCTCAGATGAAGTCCATGTGCATTGGAAAAAAACTTTTCACAATAGAGGTCCCAAAAACAAATTTATTATTGAGGATCAGGTGCCTTCCTGGTCTACTACCTTGAAAATTTGTTTAGGAGCAATGTTTTATAAAGGGTTTAATTGGGGAACTGGTGGTTTTGGTCAGCTGTCAGTTTTGAAGACTAGAGAAAGCTATATCAGCTAATGAATCATAATCATTGGCCTCAGGAGCTAAGTAAAGGGATATTCCATGTGCATGTTTTCCAGTGGAAAAAAACTTTTCACAATAGAGGTCCCAAAAACAAATTTATTATTGAGGATCAGGCGCCTTCCTGGTCTACTACCTTGAAAATTTGTTTAGGAGCAATGTTTTATAAAGGGTTTAATTGGGTTCAGAAGGAAGGGGGGGGGAGTGCAGGTGGACAGGGTTCAGAAGGAATTCAATCCCTGATTTATTGGGTTTCCACTATAAAAATTTAGGGCAGCATTATAGAGGTACCATTTTTCAAACAGGGGGTCTGAATAATTTTGGAAAAATTTAGCATTATAGAGGTACCCTTTACTAATCGTGATCCAACATTACTCAGAGTGAAAAGAGTTGAGGGGCTGTTAGGATGTGCGTGCCTTTTTCAAATATATAGTAGCCAATGACTCTTTGAGGTGAACAGGCACTTTGAGGCTACATCCGGTACCCACTGCTTGGACCATTTTTGGAGAGAGTCTGTTATGAATTCAAGCCGGTCACAAAACGCCTGGCGTTTGTCCTCGCATGGCCAGGTGGGAGTTTCCTATCATTTCCAAGGCTTTCGTTTTGAGACTGTTCAGTCTGCGAGGCCGTCATCATCGGGATGAAACCTTCTGCGCTCCAACGAAACGCCAAACCAAACCTGCGTTCGGCTTGACCCACTGTGGTGGTCTGGCGCCAAACACCCCAAACCATGGAGGCGACAGGATTTATGGAGGCGACAGGTTTCCACCCGAACAACCAAAAGCCAATGGTTGCTTCAAGATCTTGCAATATGGCCAAGCTGCAGCTGGAGATCCTCTTAACATCAACATGTCTCAAAAGCCCCCGTGAGAACGGGTTCATGATCCCGGGGCTCCTTCATTTCAGCCCTTGAAAAGGCCTCGAACATCTTAGAGGAAGAGTCTTTAAAAGCGTAACTGGAGCGTCGTGACGCAGAGATCGGAGTCTCCCAGCTTCACTGAAGATGTCGCATGATGTCACTATCACAGACGCGCGTTCGTCATACGCAGGTTTTGCGCAGCGCCTTCATGTCATGTCCCCAAAAACACACACACACACACAACTTATATACACAAATTTAATGGCAAACTCCCACCCACACCGCCCACATCACCTAACCACAAATTGTATCAATCCTACCAGAGTTTAGGCGAACACCAAACTTAACTTCACAGGAAGACCAGGGAGCGTCCCTTCCTGCAACTTCCAGATAACCTCTAGACTCTAGTCATGAGTTGATAGCAATTCCCACCCCAAAGCCGTACAATACGTATAAAAGAAGATCCGATCGTGACCTGCTCTTACTGGGGACGATGGGAGTCTAGAACAGTCGACCGATCCGATCGTGACCCATCAGCGGGATCACTGAGATCTGCTGCGGAATCTGACGGCCACCCACCAATTCCTCGCAAGACCGGTCATGCCGAACGGTTCGGCAAGACGGTCGGTCCGTTTGTAGGCCGAAGTACGTGGAGTGTCAGTTTGTACGCCGTGAAGCCGACTGGTGCTTAGTAAAGGATAAAGGAATGGATCCTGAGGTATCTACAGGGGTGGTTCGTTCCCTGCCCTATGAGTCGCACGAGTCTGGAAGGAGGAGTACCATGAAGTACCACCAGCTTCGGGCCTTGGAGTATTCAGAAAAAGTCCTCACCATGAAGGACGATGGCAACCTCTAGATTCCACATCAAATTGAAGCCGGACTAGATCTTCTGTGCATCTTAGCCGTGCATCTTGTGTGCTTCGCGTAAACAAAACATGTGAGTCTTGGATTTGCTCAATAGGAGCTGCAAAAAAGAACCCCTCCCCCCAAAAAGGTGCCAGCGCATTCACATGGATTCACCCGATCAGCAAAGTCAGAATGCTCCGCCTGCCCCTACACAGACACGAAGAAGAAAAGGTGTCGAGTTTCTTCCAGGCTAGACGCGGAAAACCCGCCGTGTCTTTTTCGGGCTCGGCCCCCTGCCGTGCCCCAACGAATCAGCTGTATTTGAGCTGGGGCACGTGGTACGGATTCACCATAGCTGAAGATTGCTGTGAGGTAAAGGCTGGCGGAAGAGGCCTAGACACGAGGCATTCAACTTTCTGGGCATTTGAGCACCCAGGTGGGATAGTGAACATGCTCATTTGTGGTTGTCTTTGTCCGTGCAGGTGTTGCCAGTGTCTGATGGAACAGTTGATAGCTCTACAGGTACAACGGGTTATGTATCTGAGAATCATGAGTGAGCTATAATGGATTATAAACCAAATTGTATACAGATTCTAGTTGCAGGATATCTTCTGTACCAGCCACTGTATGTGTTGTTCTCTGCGATTCGTGCAACTCCTTTCACTTGGCTTCTGGATCTGCTTGACTAGGGAGACCCTCCCTCGACTAGGGATGTACAACGACTTGAGCAACTTGAGCAACTTGAGCAATTTCCCCCAAGCCGCGAAGCCGCGACACAGGATCGTTTGATGCTTTCTGAAACACCCTTGCCATCTACTTGCCGACTACCCCTCCCGTACCTCTGGCTACGTGTGAAAGATCATGAGGCGGGTAACCAGAAAGAAGTCCTATATTACAAAATAATGAATCATGTGCAGTTAATAAATGTTGGATAACCCCGATATATATATATATATGAAAACTGGATATCAAAGTTGCAAGTCTTCAACCTGTACCTAGGATCATGGATATAATGATGGTCATGTGAATGGACAAAGAAGTTGGAGGTGGGTTGAAACAATCAGAAAAGGGAAGATGTGGTATAAATAAATAGATAAATAGATATATATATATATATATATTTGGTTTGTCCTATATTACCTGAAGCAGTCAGCAAACAGTTCAAAATATTTCAGAGAAAGGCCTGCAACCGAATCATCATCATCCACCGTTACTGGTAATAGGATAGACTCCATGTATATTGCTATATACATTTATAGACTCCGACTACTACTACTACTACTACTACTACTACTACTACTACTACTACTACTACTGTTTGACCGAACTTCCAGGCCACAACGGAACGTTGTGGAGAACCAGTTCGGGAAAAGGAACAGAACCGGAAGGACCGTTCGGTCGGCAACGAACTGAGTTTGCTGTACATGTTGGTGGTTCAGGGGGTCAATGTAGGTAAATATTCCATGCGGGCGAGAGTATGATAGCTGTGGTCTTTATCAGGGGCAGTGAATCGAATCCAGTTTGTTCAAAAGCTTCACATCCTCTCCACCCCAAGACACAGGTCCTGGGTCTGGGCGTGTCCTTCACCAAGCCGCCCTCAGAACCTGGAAAAGGCAAGTTCATCCCAAGGAGAGAGCTTGATGTCGAAAGAACCACAACTGCCAGTTCCAGGTTGGGTGGTTTTGTCTCGTTTTGGCGTGTTACTTACAGTCCCTTACTGTAATCATGGAAGCGGAGCTTCAAACCACCTGTTTAGGGGCCGGTCCTTAACCATGATTGTTACCAACAATTGGACCGTCCCAAAAACCACCTAAAGAGAAGGTGCGGAGGATGACTCTCCAGCTCGGTCCACTCGCCCGGTCCACCTGGACCTCCGGTCGTGGGTGTGACGCGGTGAAAGAGCACGGAGACAGAGACTCAGAGAGGGATACCATGATCCATACATATCCATCGCTATATCCATCAGTGGTTACGACCCCCAGGCCTTCAGGCATTCAGGCTTTCAGGCAGTGGTTATGATATGAGATCCATAATATGCGCAGTGCTTATGAACCCGCAATTCATCATCAGGCTGGCAGGCAAACTGGCACAACTGGACCCTAAGAGAGAAACTCTATGATCTTGAACTCTTCCCCCAAAGTCCTCTCATTGAACTCTTCCCCAAATGTCTTCTCTTTTCCAGAAGATCGTGGAACCCATCCACCCCATCGTGGCACCCATCCACCCCTCCCCACATTCAGCCACCCATCCACCTCGCCTTCCTGTCGGTGTCGGATCTCCTTCACCATCTGCAGTGCGGCCTCGGTGCCCTCCTCGTCCCCGATGCGCCGGAAGGTGCTGTGAGCCACCAGCGCCGACTGAGCAGGAGAAGGGGACTGAGGGAGAAGGGTCTGGCGGCCAGGCCGGGGTGAAGCTGAACTTCAGGAATGCAAGGTGGGGAAGTGGGGAATCATAGAGGAATCTCTTGGACAGGTTCCTGATTTTTTCAGGCGTTTTCTCCATTTAAGTGTCCATTTGGGGTCAGGTACGGAGAAGGAACAACCATGCGGCGGCTAAAAACACTTCTGGGCATGGCTTCTTCCATCGACCGTTCTGATCTGGTACATCCTGGTCTGGCCGGCTTCGACGAAGGCATCATGCCGGTCATGTCTGCATAGCCCTTCTTCGGTTCAGTGCTTTTGGGAAGGTGGAGATGTGTGATGGGAGGGTCAGCGGTCAGTTCCTGAAACGAAATCCACCAGGAAAACAACCAAGACCCTGACCGGAAAAAAGGAAACTAAAAACTTCAAAGGAATCAGCATGAACCGACTGTACAAGACCCATGACAAAGAATGCTTCCTGTTCAAAGCATCTGGATCGAATGATTTGGATCGAACAACCATGGCCATCAGGCAATGTGACCTCCAACTGTGGGAAAAGGCCGGGGAAGCGGCGGTTCCAACATGGTTCAACCTTTCTCCACCTTCCCTAGGGCTCCAGGTGCCTCCTCAGAAGGTATTTGGACCCTCCAAACCCACCCTAAACACCTTCTCAGAAGGTATCTGGAGCCCTAGGGTTTCTCTTACTGTTTGATCTTTTTGCCCTGGACGAACGTCCCCTCCTGGACTTCTCTATGCTTACTAGCTGATGGCGCTCGGTGCCACAAGTATCAATCCAATGAAAATTATGGTGCAGCGCATTGGATTCGATGTGATGAGTTGCGAACGACGCGGAAAGCAGCAACAAAGGACATGCACGGACTGACTTCCCAATTCCAAAGCTTACGGTTTGTTGATTTGGTTCCGGTGTTGGTCCCAAAGTGTCTCGGTCTAAGCCGCAGGCATGAAGGGCTCCATCGTATTGAGGTACTTCGATTTCCTTTGGAAAGCTCGTGGGACGGGTCATTCTTGGAGCATTCTTGACTATACTTTTCACGAAATTGGATGAATAGAACTGGCCAATCTCGTGGTACACAATCTGACATGAATCAAAAGCCCCCACAACTTTCGATCGAGTCGATCGACTTAAGGCGGCTTTTTTGGCGACGAGTCGGCGAGTGTTCAAAAACATGTCACCAAACACAACCCGTCTGGGACTGACTGGCAAATATATATATATATTATATATAATATATATTATATTGGGGCATAATCGTGGGATTGTTGAAAAGGGGTCAATGTACAGCAAGAAGCTACGAACGTAACAAGGGCATCGCTACGAACGGAGCAAGAAGATACTAGTAGCTACGAACGTAGCTCTTGGCATTGCTACTAGGAGCAAGATGGCACAAGAAGCTACTATATACCAGTCCCATCGCTCCTTCGAGATCACGCTGGACTCTTGACCGGCCACGAGCTTGGCGGGTGACCTCTCCGACGTCGTCTCCACCGATCGGCCCGCGAGCGAAGGCGAGCGACTTAAGCAACGGGGTGACCATGCCACGACTTGATACTTGAAAAGGTGTGTTACCCCTCGACTCTTGGGTTTCATACCTAGGGAGAGAAGTGTGGCAAACCGCAATCAGACATCAGGAAAAGTACGCGTGTTCCCGATTGTGTGTGTTTGATTTTTGTTGCAACACGAAGCAATATCTTCCACATCAACAACTTACCCAAATCATAGTTATACCTAGGTATTATATATATGCCTATATTGAGAACTGGCTCTCCAATTCATTGTTGGCACTCCTCATCAAACAAGATTCATGGAATTCTCCTGGTGGCTATCCCCTGTGGGATGATCATGGGCATTCCGTCGTGATCGACCATCGGAGCATGAGTGTAAACAGTTCGATCCCGGTCCCGGACCAAAATCACAAAACTGTTGGAAATCCAAAACTGTTTACACTCAGTTCATGAACTGATGACGGACATCGGAACCAAATAACCAAATTCACAGATCGTATTACTGTCATGAAGTGAACGCCTTGCAGCGGTGAATGGGGTCCTTTCGTTTGGGAGGTCCTTCCCAAGGCCGAAGGACCGAAGGACCGAGGCTGCTGGTGAATGGTTCCATGCAGTTCCCAGGATGGAACCCATGGTTTCACCTCTCCAGGTTTCAGCCCTGTCTACGGCCTGTCTCTATATATAGGACTCTTGGGGACCATACACCCCCCTCGTTTGAATTGGAAATCCTCTTCAAATGGAGGGTTTATTCATCAAGAGTCTACATAAAATCACAACGGAGAATCCTCCAAAGCGAGCCCAAGCGAGCCCAAACGAGCCAAAACGAGCCTTAAGAGGCAAGCTGCATAGAGCAGTCCTGCCCAGCCAACGCCTTGCCTAGGTTGTGGAACACAAATCCCGGAGATTAAGAACCAAATCCGATGAACACATGACAAAAGGCTTAAAAGGCACTTCCTGCGTAAAAAAATGCTAAACAAACAAACTGGAAGCATGCAACTGCACCGCCCTGTTTATCCCTGTTGGGTTAGGGGAAAGATCTGAGGCCACCGCCCATCCTTCAAGGTGCCGTAGCAATCATAAGCTTTGGTCACCTCATAAAGTCTGGTGGCGGAGCCAGTAACCCATTGTCCATCACCATCCAGTGACGTCTGGAATAGGGCTTGGCACTTTCAACATGGAAGACGCCTCAAAATGGATGAGGTCCTTGTTAATAGCTTTGGTTTAAGATTGATCAGATTGCAGGTTTATCCTCCTTCATATATATATATATATAAGTAATTTCACAATTCAGACCATCCATGTATTGCTGTATGGAATAGTTTCAGTTATATACATACATCATTTACCCCATCTATGATCCTAATGTATGATAATGTATGTACCTATTCAATACATGGATAGTCTGAGATTAGTTTCTGTGAACTGCTACACCCCGACACACGCCGACCTTACTTGCTATAAAGGTCAGACCCCTTTTCGGAGAATTCATGCCGTGTTGGACCATTGCCATTGTGTGTTGATGATCAGAAGTGGCGGTATTCACTGCAGATCATTGCAGGTGTTGCAGGAAGCCAGGTGGAATGAAACTATGAAACTTAAGCAATTGGGCTAGAATCAATGGCAAAACACACGGTTCGCAACCCATCCCTGTACACACCGGGGGCAGAGCTGCATCCAGTGTTGGCCACATAAATCATTGAGATCATCGGCTCACGAACCAGGCAGCACCAGTCCGTATGGATCCACACACCTTCTCGGAAGCTAATTGGAGGCACTGTTATGTAGGTTGGGAGGGTCCAAGTACTTTCTGAGAAAGTATTTGGATCCTAATAATATACCCAGACAATCAGAATCCATGGCATGTGGATGAAGTGAAGCCCACAACTCTCCTCCAAACCCAACGTTGGAGCCCCTAGCACCTCGTTAATGGCCGCATGAACGTTGCCCGCCTGCGCGTCTGAGACATTGCAGAGGGTCACGTCCCATACTCTTCTGCAGGTCAAAACAACACGACACAGGACAACGACATCTGAGAACTCGACTTTCGAGATGGGGTTGACCCCGTGGACCATCACCAGGACCAGATTTCAACACAGAATCCTCGGCGTTTGTGGATGTCTCTCCAGGTGTCTTGTACCCCCGCCTTGTGACCACCCGCATGAAACCCGTGTAGCAACAATTCAACATCAACTCCGAGATCCCAAAATGCCTCCCACCTCGTCATCAAACACCTGAGCCTGTTTCCATAATGAACTGGCCGTGATTATAGGGAAGCCTTCCCAGGCGTTCCGACCCCGTGGGTTCGGTTCGGAACATATCCCCACCTACCACTCCAAGCCCATGTGGGATAGATCTCCCTCAAAACAAAAGCCTTCCATGAGGATAGGGGCTGGCCTCCCAACGTTCAAGTACACATTGCTTCCATCCATCCATCCATCCATCCATCTCCGTCCCCGCATCACCTCCCCACAAGCCGGCGCCTTGAGTTGGACCTTGCCGAGCAAGAACTTGGCGTCCGCCTCGTTTCGCCTGGGACGGTGGATTGAGCCGAAGTCGTGGCCAAGCAGTGCCAAGACGAGACATCCGCCGCTTGGAGAAAAACGGCAAAACCAGTCTTGTAGACCCTGCCCTGGCGCTTGCTGTTGAGGTTCGGGAGTGCCCACTGCGATCTGGAGCTTGCTGTTGAGGCCCGGTAGTGCCCACTGAGATCTGGCGCTTGCGCTTGCTGTTGAAGTCCGGTAGTGCCCACTGAGATCTGGCGCTTGCTGTGGAGGTCCGGTAGTGCCCACTGAGATCTGACGCTTGCGCTTGCTGTTGAAGTCCGGTAGTGCCCAGTGAGATCTGGCGCTTGCTGTTGAGGTCCGGTAGTGCCCACTGCGATCTGGTGTCGAGGCGAGGAGAAGAGGAGGAGGAGGAGGAGTGCCGGGATCCTCTTCTAAAGTTCTAAAGTATAACAACTCTCGACTGACAGGTGGAGAAAATTACCGTACATACCAGCACTTTCCGTTCGTGGACTCCAATGCAAAACCCTATACTACTTGTGGATCTCCATTGGACACCCCTTTATTGCAGGTCCAGGTACAAGAACTGAGAGCTTTTGGCTATTGTTGGATACTGTATATGTTGTATTCAACCAACCGAGTTGCTCACCCATCTCACCGGTCTCACCCGTTTCGCACGAGGCCCGGTTATCACCGGGGCCTCCCCAGGAGGGACGGGAAGACTCGGAGAGTGTGAAGTACCAGGACTATCCTGTCTGGGTGTCCTGGCTGGACTATCCTACACGACTTGGAGATGGACAGGACACAGGAAAGCTCAGGAAAAATGTGGTCAGGAGTCAGGAAAGCTCTTATTTTCACGGAAACATGTGGTCTTCAGTGTGGTCCTCGGCCTGGAAAAAACCCAGGAAAAATGATCAGGAATGAGGATCCAATAGGCTCCATATCTTAAAGGATTAAAGGGCCAACAAGCACATATTGCATCATCCTTTCGAAAGCTTAGATTCCATCCACAAACTTCTTGGATTTGCTGTCCAGGAAGCCGATGAAAAAGGAACAGATTCTCCAGGTTAAGGGATTCACCCAGTGAACTGGGAAAATCGAACATCACCGCTTCGCCCTTGCAAACAACCGCGTGGGTACACACCCAAACGCGTCGAAAAACACCGCGTCCCGAGTCCCACCGGTTGTTGGTCGCCAGGAGGATCGAACTGGCCGCCTGCGGATCGTCAATCTGATGGGTCTCATTGATGACCGGGCAAGTGATCGGCATAGATTTCATGAATATTCATGGATGACACCTGGGCTGAAAGGACCTGAACATCCTTCGTAACTGGGCTAGAGTACAGTCTCATACCACCCTCTAAGCACTCGTCCCATGGGGTCTGCATACCTTTCTGAGGGGGTGATAGAACGGGAGACACGCCCCCGGCTTCAGCGGGTCCAGGCTGAGGAGCCGTACCGAAGCGGAAACGTACCATGTGGCTCCGTGGAAGTCCACGGTCCGAACGAGCGAAGGGGTGGATCTGTTTAGATAGGCTCACTGGGGGGCATCGCTACGAACGGAGCGATCGGACGCTACAGTACTAGGGGCTGCTGGTCTTAGTACTATTACTAGGAGCATTCTTGCTACGTTCGGAACATGCACCTTCTACCGACACCATCGAAAGGGAAACAACATGATCTCCCCTCCTGGACAAGTTTGGCAAAGGAAGCCTTCTGGATGAAATGCTCAGTTGGAGCTTGATAGTATTAAGTAATTGTATTTATAGTTAACGGCCCCGGAATAGAAAACCACCAACTAAATAGGAACTCTCCTTGTTTTTTTGGCTCGATCAACAACATGTCACACCAACCTGTCTGTATGATCTCGAAAGGGGTGAATCCATCGGCTTTTGTGCGATGGCCTTTGCGGTCACCCCCAAAGTCTCTCCGAAGTGCGGAGAAAAACTCCAAAGTGCTCAAGACAAATCCCAAGCCTCAAAGGAATCAAACGCCTCTCAGAATTCTAGATCGAACGTCGTATTTTTTAGGATCCCCGCTACACAGCATGGTTTGTGGGAACCTACAAGGACTCCACCCATTGAATCAGATTGAACTTAAGAAAAGCCATTACTTTGCCGGAAAGCCATTACTTCTCCTCCAGACCCCGTATCGTACGGGGTCGACCCCCCTATGGGTACGGGCTCTGTTCGGAACATGTTCCAATAGTTGCAAGATCCAGGTATGCTGGGTTTATCTGGCTTCCATGACATATAAATACATGATGTGTCGCACAGCAGCCAGCATCAACCATTATATGCCATATATGTCCCAAATCTCGGGCGCTTCACTTGTGGCTGTCTCAGCTGCCACCGGTGGATGGACCCGCCCGCCTTCGCTTTCAAAAGCATGTCCCGCGGATTCGCCCGGAGGCCCTTCTTCTTGGACTGTGACCAACCCAGCCTGGGACGAGGGCCATGGATTTCCGGTTGAACAAGTGAAATGTCGCTGAAGACGAACAAGTGAACCTTGAAAACCACCGCACCAATATGCGTGCCATTCTCAGGGTCCATGTGACGTTTTCGGGAGTGTAATTTTGAGTCTACCCTGATGAATCCACACTGACATACCCTGACCATCCAGAAGGATCCCCTTCGAAAAGTCTACGTGGCGCATGATGCATGCCACCCGTTCATTGGTTTCAGGCCAACATGCTTAGGAAAGATCGAAGCAATTCGAAGCTTCACCTGCTCCGCCCACCATCGCCCCCGCTCAGATCGCCTCCCATAGCAGGACACCTCCTTGAGACGTGCCTGGAAGGGGTCGGTGCGTCTGCAGTGGGGTCAGTGCGCGACGGCGTCGGCTTGGGAGGTGGGGTTGGGGAATCCTACACCACCCCAAAGTGAGGAAAACCAAGGCCTGCTTCACCCCTTGCTTGGGAGGAGACCCTCGGCTATGTCGCGTCTACATCCGACCCTCAGTCAGCGTCGTTCGCCAAAACACGAGAGACTCATCTTTGCCAAGTCTGGTCCAAGCTTTAATAGACCCAAAGCAGCTCCAAACCTCCACGGTAGTGGTGAGAAACCCCGAAAGCTGCAAAGCTGCTGGTGCTGGTGCTTCGTGGTACGCTTCGCGCTACCCGACGTGTGCTACTTCAGCTAATTCTGGAAAATAATACTAAAAATTGGCACTTCTAAGGAGCCTGAAACCTGCCCTAAAATGAGCAGAAGCCATGTAGGTGATACGTAGGTTCTGATATTCATAAGGCTGACCGGACGATGGTTCGGGAAATCGGACACGTCGACATGAAACGACCGATCCTCGAGCTGCGAGTTCCTTCCATTGGCGCAACGGGTTCTTGTAGAACCCCACCTACAGCAGCACCTCATCACAATCAGGTTGATTGATTGATTGATTGATTTGTGTTGGTTTGATGTTGCGTGTATTGTTTATGCTTTTTTTTGGTGTTTGTGTTTGTGTTCTTGTTTTGGTTGTTCTTTTGAAAGTACCCTCGCCTCGCAGTTCCAAGACCATGAAAAGAGTTCGCTTAACCTGGCTTTGCAGTGTAAAGATTCAAATCTGGTTCTTCGGCGTAAAGGCCGATTATCGCAAACGAGTCGGACTGTTCGCCCAGTGATCCTCACACAGCTGGTGCAGTGTGGAGCGATCACAAGGCGTTCAGCCGATTAAACCCATGCTGGGCCTGTGCAATTCCGGCGACTCTGAGAACTCATCTCTCCCCCTCAACTCCGTCACCCAATCGACATCGGCGCACCCGCTCCAGTGGCGACCAGTCAGACACATCAGTCGCATGTCTTGTCTTCACATCTCTTCATGCATTTTCGCCCCTCACACACACTCGGGGGATGTAAAGGCCCATGAAGCCATCATTCTCTCTCCCTATTCCAGCAAAAAAGCCTCTTCGCACCGCGTCTCCAAAAACGTCTCTTGCCCGGCCTCCAGCAACTTCTCTTCCACCTCACCTTCCAGCGCCTCTTCTGCAGTGTCCACAGCCTCGCGTCCAATACACAGAAAGAATAAACTGCTGCGCTAGCCGCTAGCCACTGTCCCAGTATGTTAACAGCTCGGTGTGTTTCCGGGTCAAACTACTTAGTTGATCCTCTTGTTTTGTCCCTTCCAAGAAATAATCACCAGGCGTGTTCCTCTGCACAAGGGCGTCTCCAAAACACCGCGCAGCCCACGATTCAGCGGCCTCGCCGTAGTTCCCCTTGATGAGATGCGCCTCCGCCAATGCGTGCATGGCCATCTTCTGCCTCGTCAACCATGGCCAACGGTGTACACTGACGGGCTGAAAAATGCTGAACCCTGATATAGACTCTTAATGTTATCATCAACTCAAGAGGTTTCAGAATGCAACTGGGAGAGGTTTTATTCAGGACGAGGAGCCACCCATAGGGAAAAGTAAAACCACCCTAAGCAAAACCAAGAGTTTAGTTGTCTGATGTAGTCTGTGTTCCTCCAAGTAATAGTAAATTCCTCAAAATACATCTTTTTCGTCTTCTTGTGCTAACATGTGCTAACCTGGGTTGTGCAAGGGTCCTCCAAGCATGGGCCGACTGGCACAATTCAACAAGAGGGAAGTGGTTGACATCCCCAACAAAGCCTATTCCGGGTCGAGGATAAATGATCGACACTCACGGCGCTGGGAGATGAAGAATAGCACAGCCACGAGTTGAAAGCTATACCAAGTTAACCTCTGAGATGAGTTGATCCATCTCAAAGGTGGGGAGAGGAACGCAACAAAGGGCTGCCGGTCCTGCTGCGTGAAACACGATGTGTCGTCACCATCTTTGATCGATGTGTTGTCGTCTTTACCCACCGCGTAGGTCTCGCCGCTCTCGACTAGGTCAATGTCGGTAGGTCTTGGCCGTCCGTCCGAGTGGACGAAAGTGCAGGTCAACAGCCGAGCTGGTGACCAACGACCGTCTTCGGCTGGTACTGGTGCCTGTTGAGTATATCCCATTCCCTGTAACAGTGGATGATGATGATGATGATGATGGATGATGGATGATGGATGATGGATGATGATGGATGATGGATGATAATGATGGATGATGATGAATGGATGGATGGATGGATGGATGGATGGATGGATGGATGGATGAATGGATGGACGGATGGATGGATGGATGGATGGACGGATGGATGGCTGGACGGATGGACGGATGGACGGATGGACGGATGGACGGATGGACGG